TTTTCCAGCTAATTGAATCTGATGGAATCTAGATTTTATGGAAATGTTTGTTCATTCTCTGTAGGGACCGAGGGGTGCGACACATCTAAATCTCGATTTTAAATGGTCAAAAAATCTCACATTAGCGAAACAATCTACAAAAAAAAATCATCACTTACATCTACTCGCATCGCTCTCCACCTTTTTTGCAGGAAATCTTCAAAATCATTATCAATAGTGTTTCTATCTATTAAGCGCGAGTGCATCTCACAATAGCAAAGGAAAACATTTTCTGTATCTTAGATAGAGTCGCCCCCTCGGTAGGGAAGACCGGTGCCTTGGTGATTTAGCTATATTGTCAAGAATTAGCACTTCAGCAGCTGAAATCCGGACATGAATTTTAACGAAGAGATGGAAATTTCTACATATATCTAATATGTATAAATTCCTTTCTTTTCGATGAAATCTATGCCCGGAATCAGCTGCAGGATAGTTTGAATGCTTTATCACATATAAATAATCCATGCTTTTTGTGTGTATTTTTTATTAAATAAATCAAGAACACTGTAAGAGCTCGTGAAAATAATTGATTGGTTCCAAATGGGTATAACCAAAACTAACATCATCTAAAATAAATATAAATCCCAGTGCTTTTGTAAAAATAATTACATTATTATCTGGGACAGAATCATCAAGTTTCGAGTTCATTCCTTTCGATTAGAATTAAAGTAAAATCTTGATTGACTCCCAATGTTAGTAAATTCGATGCATTGCGGAAAAATTGTTCTGAATAAGTGCTTTATTACTTTCTGTTCTCTTCAAATATCAGAATCATGACAAATTATAACCAGACGTTTCAATATTTTTCGAAATTTTTGACGTAAGACTCCGTCTGTGATTTCTATATGGGGGTACATTCTGTGAAAACCGAAAATGGAACATGTAACAAAATTATGAAAGATTTTGAACGTTAACATTTTCAGCTGCCAATAGACCAATTTCAATAATTTTAACACCAATTGAACAGAAATATGTCTACGCATCTGTTTAATGCAAGATATTATCACTTTTTTTTTTTAAATGTCACTATTGAAAATTGCACGAGAAGCGATTTCCTTAGCACAGATTTCAAAGTTGAATTCCATCTGATGTCACCAAACGGTGTTTATTCAATCACTGCGTGGTGAGTGGTGGTGTTCTCGAGTACACAACGAAAAGCTGCCTGTAAACAGTGAGCTGCAGCCCACATGAGCATCCATAGAAGGAGGAAGAAGCCGCACCGCTATTGATCGGAATCAGTAGTTGTTCGTGAGCCGCTGTGGGTCATCTATGCCAAGCGCGTCACCCTCATTCAAAACAACATACAGCTCACCAGTCTCATCTGTGTTTAACACCATATTAACTCAGCATTACTCAACCATCAAGACAAAAGGGTCCTTTTCAGGACCACCATAAATTTTTAAAAGAGTATTTTTTGGACATTTGTCAAGGTCATCAATCGGACGTCACTTCCCATATTAAGATAGAGCTGGAATTAGGAGGTAAAAGCTTTTGTAAACAATGACTTCTTTCGATGATGTCTTGAAAGTCAAGACTCTCCCAAGCAAATCAACATTACCATCAGGTATGATAAGACTTCCCCTACCTGACGGTAATGTTGGTTTGCGTGGGCGTGCCTTGAATTCCTAAAAAGCATCGAGAGAAGTCATTGTTTACAAAAGTTGTTATGCCTAAGTCCAGCCCTATCTAGATATGTTTAAATCTAACATACCATGTACTTTAAGGCAACTTTGGGAGTGTGATTTCAAAAACCAAAGTTGGTCGCGGCTTGAAAGTGGTCCGATTTTGATCCAGAGAAGATCGATTTTAATTCTTAATACGCCAATCGATAGGATTTTTTTCTACGAATCCGTTAAAATTAATCCTTTATCATTTTTTCAAAATGTCACTATTGAAAATTGCACGAATGTGGAACTGTTGCTATGATAGTTAAAATTATCACCGATTGCGCCCGAAAAGCGATTTCCCTAGCACAGATTTCAAAGTTGAATTTCATCTGATCTCACCAAACGGTGTTTTTTCAATCACCGCGTGGAGAATGTTGGTGTTCTCCAGTACACAACGAAAGACTGCCTGCAAGCAGCGAGCTGCAGCCCACATGAGCATCCATAGACGGAGGAAGAAGCCGCAACGCTATTGATCGGAATCAGTAGCTCTTCGTGAGTCGCTGTGGGCCATCTATGTCAAGCGCGTCACACTAAAGAGTATAAACAGAGAGAACCCCGCTCAAATTCCTATTCCTACAGAAAACACAAGCTCCTGCTGCTGTTAACATTTATAACATTTTTTATATAAGACCACGTAGTCCTATGTCACCATTGCGTACAACCCCATAGGGCTGTCCCTTGTAGTTTTAAATCTTAATCTTGAACATGTATAAGTCCTAAATGTATGAAATTTATGCTGTGTGCATTCTACCATATTTCAAATTCAATCTCCTAGAATTTAATTTTGGTTCCTATGTCTAAGATATAACTGTTGATGAAATATTCAGAATCTAAAAAAAAGCTAGATATAAAATTCATGGAATTACCTAACTCTGAGCATTTTCTTAAGTTTGAGATGCTGAAATTTTTGACATCCGGAAGCTATGTGATTTCATTTTAAAAAGCATGAACAAACGATCATTGCTGGTCCCAAATCAGTAAGTTTTTAAGGCTCCTCCAATGGAGGTCCTAATCATTGCTATGAAATAAATATAAATTAAAAAAAGTAAGCCTCAATGTGATACTATTGGTCACAGAAAAAATGTACCCAAAAACAAGCATCTTTGCGAATTTATATTTAACCGTAGTTTAGCAAAACTAAAAAAAAATCAACAGGCCCCCCTAGGCCCCCTCCAGATGAATTTTCTAGCTACGCCAATAGAGCTGACAAATTGGGGAAAGTACTGTATATGAATCACTGCCCTTAACTAAACAATCCGAACAATATCATACAAATCGGAGAAGGTCGATTCCCTGGAACAGCTCAATTTGGAACCACAAACGACGGGATCTCATTATGATAACCCTCTTTACTCACAATGATTATGATATGAATATTTGCTCACACCACGACTTGAAACAGAACGTATACATATACCAACTAACCCACCGCAACTTACAAGACGACAGCTACCTGTACTACAACTCCGGCAGCAATTTCAACAGGAACTGCGACCGCAATACAATCTAGATAGAGCTGGAATTAGGGCGTAACAGCTTTTGTAAACAATGACTTCTTTCGATGGTTTCTAGAAAGTTAAGACTTGCCAACGCAAATCAACAACACCGGGTAGGGGACGATTTCGACGGTTATGATGATTTGTGTGGGCATGCCTTGAGTTAATAGAAATCATCGATAAAAGTCATTGTTTACAAAGGCTGTTACGCCCTAATTCCAGCTCTATCTAGAAATGATTAAACTCTGTAATAGAACCACGCTGTATTAAGGGGACTACCTTCTGGGCTCACCTTTTTTGAGACCCCCTTATGGGGCCTCCCCACACCTTAATCGGTGACTTGGGGAGCTCCCTTGATGTTGTGAGCAAGCTCGCTTCTCGGGAACAGGATAGGCGTACTGTGTCCCACAGAACAGGCGTACTGACGCATTTTGCCAACTTGGGGCTTTGACGGTTGATAAAGGAAACTAAACTAAACCTTCCTGCACAATCATATTAATTACTATATTACATATTACTCTCTCTCTCTCTTTCGTTTCAGCAATTTTCATCGCTAATCCAAACGACAGGAAACCGACCACGGATCACGCCTCAGGCACAGACAGTCCAGTGTCTCCCCTCATATCAAAATCGCCACCCCGCAAATGAGCGAACAAGATCCGCCAAATCATCGGATCTTCCTTTCCAAAGACTGACTGAACCGAATCGGTGAACGAACGCACAATGAACGACTGCAAGATTTACAACAACGGCACGCTATCGGAATAAAATGATCGTTATCTGTTAGTTCGCAAAAAATCCTACGGACCAAAAGAAAAAAAAAACTAATCTTCAATTGTACCCGACGATTCCGGCGAAATTAGCAGAAGAACAATTGGCAAACCAGAACGGGCGATCTTTACGACTTTTCGGGGAAATTTCGGTTTCATTGTCGTCGCCGCCGTCTTCGGTGGAACATTTTCCCATCCAGTCAAGTCAATGATCTGGCAGTGTGAATTTGGATCGGATCCAGGGCCCCAGCTACAGCAGATCCGTTATCTCGTCCCAGCCCAGAGCGGCGAAGTTTGTGAATCTATTTAGTATACCTACTCATCGTCGTCGTCGTCGTTTTCGGTGTATCTGTGTGTAATAAGTGTACGACCAGCATACAATTGGTTCATTGTTCAATCATTCGTCATTGGTTATCATCTCGGCGTGAAAGCAACCACCACCATCACCACCACCACCTCTACCCAGTATCTCAGTGTTTACAGTGTGAGTGTATGTGACTGCTACAACAAAGTTATCGCTCAGTAGCGCGCAAAAGAGTAGTAGTCAAGTCAGCAGCCGATTAGTAATCAACGTCCGTTGGTACGTATCGTAATTCCAAGAAAGAAAAAGAAAAAACATCAGTGGCTGCCAAAGGGAAGAAGTGAAGAAGTAAAAAAAAATATTGTTAAGATTAAAAGAAGCACATAACCGAGATAGTAATTACACTGTGGTCGGTCCGGGCACTCACACACCAACCAACAAGGCTTGATCAAGTGAGCGATAAATCGGAAGAAAGTTGTGCACAGGAGAAGAACGTGCGAAGCGGAGCAAAGAGAGCGAGAAAAGTTGCGGCAATTTGTTCGGCGCTCGTTTTCGATTCGATTTTTTTGTTGCTTCTGTTTCGTTTGATTTTCGCAATAGTAATCAATTGAGCGCGTTTATGGTGAAATAGTAGTCACATCAAAAGAAGTTTAAAAAAAAAAGTAGAGATCACAGTGAAGTCCAGTGCCAGTTAATAATTTTATTTATCTTTCTTTCCTCTCAGCAGTGTTGCTTGTGTTTGTGTTTTTTTTTTATGTGAAGAAAATCAGAAAAGCATAAAAGCGTGGAAAGTTTACTGAAATTTTCGCTCCAGCCGCGCTGTGCGAGTCGAAGTGTTTGTGTGTGTTTTGTTATTATTATCATCGTCATTTTTTTTTAATCCGTCTGAGCGATCAACGAGATCGACTCGAGCAGTTGAGCGCGCCCGTTCGTTGGCCGGTGCGAAGGAAGTGAAGGGAAGGAGCGAGTGAGCCAGCAAAGCGAGTCACCAGTCAGAGCCCTGCGGCAATCGAAGCAGCAAAATGCGCGAATTCAAGGTCGTTGTACTGGGCTCCGGTGGAGTTGGCAAATCGGCCCTCACCGTGCAGTTCGTGTCCGGTTGCTTCATCGAAAAGTACGACCCGACGATCGAGGATTTCTATCGGAAAGAAATTGAGGTAGGTGGCAAAGGCACAGGTGGGCTTTAAGTTTATGCAAAGAGTGGGTGGGTCTCAGCTGAGGATTGGGTAATTTGCCGGACCGTTAAAATGAGCGACACACACACTCGGTTGGCGTTTGTATCCGGTAGTCCGGTTTTACGATCGGTTTATTGATCGTTGGGCGCGACTCAATGGTTTCTTTTACAATGTTTTCTTCAGCGGGAATGAATGTTCAACACAATTTGCAGAAGGTGGCAAAAGACGATATGCTAATCGGTCTGTTTATTTTTAAATAAAATCGATTATTCGAAAGATAATCAGCAGGATCCAGCAGGTGACGAATGTCGTTTTGAAATGAAATCAAACTTTGTTTAGAAATGATGAATATAATCTTTAACTCGTAAATGTAAAGTCAGAAATCAGAGAACAGAACTCAAGGTTAAAAATGTGGTGACGGTGATTGAGTGACTCTTTTCCGGAATCAAACGCAGCCGAGGTCGTTGATCTCTGGTCATGTGCTTCGTCGGATGGGAAGCAACACTCAAGGTGTCTACTACCTGTAAATTCCTGGAATTCTCAGGCATTTTTCAAATTCTCGCATCAATCATCCAGCAATATGATACATTTTAGTATAAAGATCTTGTTGAGTGTGTATCTTTTGACAGATTCGCGTATTTCGTCTACTACTCGCAGACTTCATCAGTGCCAAGTACTCAACAACACAGTGCTAATTGTACCCTTCGAAGAGTTAGAGCACCCTCAAAAGGTGCGCCCCTTTGTCAGTCAAAATTGGATTTCTTAGTAACAAAATTAAGGAATGACACCGATAATGACATCAGAACCCTAGTCGTAACTACTTCAAACTAGGGAACAACGAATAGAAGATTAGGAATCACAAAGATGAAGACTAACTAACCGCGGTGGACAAAGTTCAGTCTTGTCAATATCAACAAGGCATACAAAGTAACAAGGACTAAGATGTATTCTTTGATTTCTGGAAAATCCTGTTCCCCTAGTTTGAATTAGTCAGGACTAGGAATCGGTGGTAGATCTTACATCCCGTAACGTACCACGAAAAGGTGATCTACCCACGTTACGGGGCGTTCTGTATTCCAAGACTGTTATGGAGGATAACGGAAAGAATTCTGAAAATAACTCTGAAGACATTTTGGAATGATCAAAACGAAAATCCAAGGGCATTTGGAGGAGAATTTCAACGGAGTTCTAAGACAAATCCTCTTAGAATTCCGAGGGAAAATCCATAAAATTATGTTTTGAAAATACTTTCTAAATTCTAAAGGATATATCAAAAGATTTCTATTGAATATTCCAAGGGGATTTTGAAAAAAAATTATCGAGAGAAATTTAGGTCAATTCTCGCAAGAATCATTAAAAATACGAAGATAAATAGTTCCACGACAAATGACGAATTAGACAAACTCGGCCTTCTCTGATTTGCATCAAACATTGCATTATTGTGTGTTACGGGCAATCATGCAGAACGGAAAGAATTCTGAAAATAACTCTGAAGACATTTTGGAATGATCAAAACGAAAATCCAAGGGCATTTGGAGGAGAATTTCAACGGAGTTCTAAGACAAATCCTCTTAGAATTCCGAGGGAAAATCCATAGAATTATGTTTTGAAAATACTTTCTAAATTCTAAAGGATATATCAAAAGATTTCTATTGAATATTCCAAGGGGATTTTGAAAAAAAATTATCGAGAGAAATTTAGGTCAATTCTCGCAAGAATCATTAAAAATACGAAGATAAATAGTTCCACGACAAATGACGAATTAGACAAACTCGGCCTTCTCTGATTTGCATCAAACATTGCATTATTGTGTGTTACGGGCAATCATGCAGATTTTTGCAAACATTCGGCAATTTTGTATCTGTTATTTTTTTAAGGGAGACAACTCTATATCCCTAATATCCCTGTTTGTTTGTCTTGTCTCCCCGTCTCGATGAGTCTCCAGACGAATCTAGAACCGCACTACCGTTCATACTGGCGACAACGAAAACCCTCGCCCAAGATATATCCATGATCCTATCCTTCTACAATATACCCCTCTAACTTCGGGTGTATTCGGCCGAGCTCCTACTGGACATAGAAATAAGTGAATTTTGTTAGAAAAATGAACTATCGGTTCCGTAAAGCTAACGCGATTGAGCCTTCAAAATTACGAACTAGATAAAAAAAACGAAACAAATATTCATTTTGTTTCGCCTATTGGCCTGGAACTGCTCCGTAGCAACATACATTTTGAAACTTGATTTTTTATTAGATGGGGTTCTGGGATATAGATTAGATGAAAATACCGTAGAAGTTTGCTCAAATCCCTGGACCTGATCAAATCAGACTTGGAGAAATTTTCATGAATCTGGAATGGAAATAAATATATCAGACGTCGGACATTGCTCAGTTTTTTTTAATAATGGATTTTTAAAAAAAAACACACCTTTTGTTCTAAAATTAATTAATTGGATGAGAATTGCCAAGGACCTCGGAATTCTCAGAAGAATTCCAGGGGAAGAATTGTTAGGAAAACTTGAAGTGATACGTGATAAGTGAAGATTACTGGTGAAACCTGAGGATTATTCAAATGTAGCTCTGAGTAGAATCCCAAGGGCCTCCCTTAGCTCAGTCAGTAAAGGCGCAGCTACAAAGCCAGACCATGCTGGAGGTGGCTGGGTTCGATTCCCGGTCCGGTCTAGGAATTTTTCGGGTTGGAAAATGTCTCGACTTCCCTGGGCATAGAAGTAGGATTGGACTTGCCACACAATTATACTAATGCAAAAATGGTACAGGCATCAAAAGCTCTCAATTAATAACTGTGGAAATGCATCTCGAACACTAAGTTGAGAGCACGCAATAAGCTAATATGGGATATGCAATAAGCTTGAAATGCGAAGAAGAAGAAGAAGAAGAAGAAGAAGAAGAATCCCAAGATAAGAATGAGTAGAGTTCAAAGTATATTCCCGACACAATTCTGAGGAGGATCCCAAGGGAGTTCTGACTAAAATTACAAAGAAATTTTGAGGAGAATTCTAAGGAATTTGTAAGAAACACTCCAATGTTCTTGTGAGTAGAGAAGAAGAAGAAGAATCCAAAAGGAATTCTGAAAAGAATTCAATGGAAGTTCAAAGGATAATTCTAAAGGGATAATGAGGACAGTTTCATGGAAATTCCCATTAGAATTTTGAGATAAATTTTAACGGAATGCTTAAAAAAGAGTTTCAGGACTGTTCCATTTTTATTTTTATCAGAACTTAAAGGCAAGTTCCTTGAGAATTCTGAGGATCGTTTCATGGTATTTATGGGACTACTCCCAGAGAATTCTGTGTGGAATTTAGGGGAACTTCCGAAGATAATTCCATGGGAATTCTAGAAGAATAGGTAGTGAGTACTAGGAGAGTTTATTTCGCAAGATTTGAAGAGAATTTAGGAGTGAATCAAAGAGCCTTCTAAAGAGAATTTAAAGAGATCTATGGAGCAAATTGTAAGGAACTTACTTGTTTTATTGTTCAGGAACAATGAATTTATTCCAATGATTTTGAAACTGGAAACATTTTTTTAGGTTTAAGTTCTTTGACCATACCTGAACAGCCAGGATTTCTGTCTGTAAAAATGACTTAATTAAAAAAAATGTATTTAAATACCATGGCTGAAAATCATCATCTGCTTATTTCTCCAACATTCTCGTTTCTTTATTATTTGGAAGCTATTTTGATTTAAAGAGGAATCGGTTTAAAAAAAATCACGCTAAATAAACATTATTTCCAAATAAAATTCAAAATAAAACCTTCCCGAGACCTTAATTATGTGAAGAGCTATCGATAAATTAAAAGAAATTTCCTATGGAAGCTGATGGAAACTTTTTGGAGAGGTTGGAAAGAGCTTCCAGAGCAGTCAGAAAAAAACTTCCGGAAAAGTTAGCCAGACTCCCGACATCCAATATTTCAAAATTCCGGGGCAAGTCGGAAGAAACTTAAGAGAAACTTCCAGAACAAGTCGGCAGACATTTCCGGGGCATGTCAGCAGGCATATGGAGGAACTCGCAAGAAGCTTTCTAGAGAAATCGATAGAATTGGCCAAAGTCAGTAAGAAGAAACTTTCAGAACAAGTCTTTTCAACCGGAATTAACTTCCAGCAAAAATTGCATGACTCTTTTGATGTGAGCCGTAAAAATCATCCTCATAAAACTGGAACAAGCTTACGTAGAAAGATGGACGGAAGTTGAGGTAAACATTCCGAGAAAACTAGAATAAAATTCCAGGAGTGGTTTTTAAGATTCTTTTAGGGGAATGTAGAATGTACACTTTCAGGTTAAGTTGAATTAATCCTCCGGAGAAAGTTAAGACAAAAGCTTCCGAGGGATGTCTGAAGAATCTGTCAAAGGAAAACAGCTGAAACTACCGGAGGAGCCAGATGAAATCGAAAATTTGGAAAACAAATTCTGGAGAAGCTGGCGATTTAATATCTGCAACAAGTTCCAAAATCTCCACGAGTTAAAAAAAACACTTTTTTCTGCCTTTTGATATTTCTACACACAATTTCATGCAATAGGATTGAGCAAACAGTGGTCCATATAAAAAATCGCTAAAATCGATTCCCATTCTGTGCATATGAGAAAGTGAAAAAGTTAACGGCGACGGAGATTAACACGACAATTCACCCCCATGTACCTTATCCCAAGTCCACGTCCAACCTGTTAAAAAATTGTTGTCCTTAACCTCGAGTAAGCCACGAGTATTCGGTCCCCATTCTACTAACTTTAGTAATAAGAAATATTGCTATTATTCATTGAATTACGGCACCGCAAAGCTAACGCAATTGAGCCTTTACAAATAAATGATACTTTGTAATGGTATAAAAAGATAATTTTAATTTACGTCAGCTCTAGGAACTTCCCTTAAGTAACCACGATTTTCCTGGTGTCCATAAATCCTCACTAACATTCCGTCATTTTTCTAGAATTCTCGAACATCTTTGAAGTTCTCTGCACTTCTGTG